TCCGAACCAAGCCTTTCTCCCCACTCATGGAAGGAAAACCAGGAATATAGGAGATCCCAGTGCCTCTTACTCAGTCGCATTACTCGTATAAAAAACATATTGATTAATAATTTACTATCGAAATGTTTGTCAAAAATGACCTGTGTTCAAGTGAACTAACGACGTTTTTTCTAAATATAGATTATATTTTATTTTTAAAACAATTTTACAATAGTTATACGAAATTTTTAAATTACTTGCTTTTCCTTCCAAATAAATATTTTTGTATTTTTTCTTAAAAAAAAAAGGTTAATATAATTTTGTGAATATATTTTTGTTTACTGCAACTTTATCCTTTTGTTCCTGTTGTCTGGAAGCACCTCTAGGACTATTTATAAAAATGTTCTAAATAAATTATTTTTATCAATAAAAAATGTTTTTATTTAAATGAAAAAATATAAGTTGATTTGGTTATTTCTAAACCAAGACATATGACTCAAAAATTTGAAAGAAGCACAAAATTAATGTTTACACTAAAAATTATAAAAATATAGTATTAAATATATATATATATATATATATATATATATATATATATATATATATATATAACTTTAACATTATTTTTTTAATTATTTTAGCGTAAAGTTCAGGTTTAGGTAGATAGGAACGTTAAACGTCGGATGGGAGATTTTGTGAATATCTCCTCTTAAATTAATTTTTATGTATTTCTTATTGGTACAAACATCTCTATTTATAATGGAATATTTAATGAATATATTTAAACTTGTTTTGCTATATTGATGAATCGAATAGTTCGAGGCGAGATAGAGAAACGTTTCTAACGGCTATTGCGGTGCAGCATCAGACAGTTTGCGACAATCAGCGGAGCCCAGCCGACAATTTCCGACTCACGCACCGCATATTTATCTCTGATTGATTCTCAAATAATGCAGTTACTGCGTTGAGCAAGCACTAATACACAATTCCCGCTTCATCACTATCTCCCTCCGATAAATAACATATTCCAATCTGTCATCCCAACTAATCAAACACCTGTCCCGGGTGTCGAAACCGGTTTAAAAACAAAAACAACAAAATAATGTTTACTCTCTATCGAGATTAGAGTGGATTTATCGATGTTATATTTAGGATTGAGGCTTTTACGGAAGGCCATAAAGTTGATTATATCCGATCAAAGAGATCCACTGAGTGAGTTCAAATATAAACATCTACGTCTTTTAAACTTAAGCCGTGTTCTAAGTTGTTACTAGGTTTTTGTAGGGGCGGGCTGTTTAAAACAATAAACAATTGTATTTTCGAAATATTTATTCTAATCAAGGAATTTTAGTAATCTCCATTGTGCGAAGGCATTCTTCTTAAAGATTTAAGCTACGATTGATAAACAACGGCGGACCCTAGGAATATTCCGTTTGAACGTGTAAGTTATCTGTATTTCAATGGCGGAGTCAAAGGGTGGTGTTTTGGTCTAAAGCCACAAAATATAATTTTTTTTTTTAAATTTTCGTTGTCCATATTGTTCCTATGACCTGAAACAAGTATTTAACAATCACAAAATATCCTCTCTTTGATTACAACGCACGTGCAGCAATTACCACATTTAAGCAAGTGAGAATAGAAATATTTTAAACATTTCTAAGATCATTATTATTCATGTAATTACCGTTACCAAGTCAAAACTAAAAACGTTTTGTCCCCTCCCTCTCCCCCAAATCCCGGACGAATATTCAAGATTAAGTATTTTTGTAAGTTTTTAAAAATTAATAATTGATTTTTTTCGTTCCTAAGCCTTGCTTTAATTTCCTATAAAAGGTATAATTTCTTCATTCTAAATACTTTTTTAAAAATTTAAATGAATTAAAATTGTATTCACTTCAACTATAAATAGTTTTAAAAAAAAATAACAAATTTTCAAATACCAACTTCACAGAGAGCACCGTCGCATGGTTAGGGTCCCATGAATCGGAATCACAAATCAAAGTCAGCATAGCATTAGTTTTTTTAAAATTAAAATTAATAAACCTAGAGACAATTAGTGCAAAGGGGGAAAAACTCGCTGACCTGGTTTTTCGTTTAGTTTTTGGTTTAGTTGGACGGCACCTGGGTTTTCTTGCTATGGACACTTATAACTATCCGATCGATATATATATATATATACATGTAAACATATACAACACTTTTGAACGGAATAATTGAAAACAAATATTTAATAATTTCTACTAATTTTGAACAGTAATGAGTTTTTAAAACGAAAAGTATTCACGTGGAATACTTATGAAACATGATAATTGTCTGAAATAACCTTCCAAATTAACAAGAACCTGATTACCACGAATATGAACAACAATATCATTAAATATAAGTTAAGGATCAAAAACATTTAAGGTTTAATATAAACAGCTTTATGCGTGATGATGTATAGGTATCGGAGTGAGAGGGGGGTTAATAAATGGGAAATTTCCGAGTTATTAGTATATTACCCCACATCAGGGCTAATTAACCAATCAAATTAATTGTGCACTAATAAGTGATAGTATTGGTTTAATGGATGCTTTAGTTTGGCATTGGTCGAATTAGTCAACGACGTATTAGCATTATTAATTAATACATACCGCAGGCCAGTAAGCTATTTAGGTGGTCAATAATATCTAAAAATGTTTACACTTGATCCGATTTGATTAACTGAGGAATGAGGAAATCTGTATTGCCAAATATATTTAAAATTAAAAAACGAATTAAAGTAATGCCCTAACCCGATAATATTTAATGAATCCCTGCCATAGGTTCGAAGATATTTTGAAATAGAGGCATTTTAGTTCCCCGTATCATCCGTATATAATACTTAATAATCCGTACAATTACATTACTTAATCGATGACCGATCGTAGAATTTCTGGAGGGCGTATGTGATTTTTAAAGAAGAAGAAAATTAGAAAACTTGAGTTCAAGAGATGGCTAGGATTGTATAGTCGTGTATAATCTTTCTGAATGACACTAAAATATTGGAAAAAAATTTCTAAATATTGGAATATTTGAATAAACTTTTCTATAGATAGATAAGTAAACTGTGATTACAAAATATGTTGTTCTGACTAAAGAAAAAGTTTTTTTTTTTTTTTTAATATATACTGGCATAGAACCGAAATAATGAAGTAGATTTAAACTGTGAAAGTTTTAGGTCGTTGAGTTAACTTTCCCAGTCGATAAAACAATTGTAGTTTTCATGGTCCTCGAAAACGTCTGCAAGGAATGAGACTGAAACATAATCATCACGAATAACAATAACGTAATGTGTTAGATATGGGAACTTATAGGACATAGTTCTTATGTTGACGAACCTGGAACCCTCATACTAGACTTAAAAGATAGGAACTAAACCGACGATACGGCCAACTATACCGACTACTAAACAGAAAATCTAAACTTTAAATTGAAAACAAGTTATTCATCTACAAGACAATATTGAAACTATTTATTGTATTTAAACTATATATTTGGACTTACGGACTAGAACTGTGGGGAACAGCACAATTTTCTAAGATCAAGTGCATCCAATCTTTCCAGTCAAAAGTCCTTCGAACAATAGTCGATGCTCCTTCCTATGTAACCAACAAAACCCTACATCATAACCTTAACATCCCATTTGTCCAAGACCTTATCCCAGAAAAATTCTCCAAATTTCACCAGAATCTTACGTATTATCCAAATCCTCTTGCGCAATCCCTATCAAGCACCACCCATCCCTATAATCATCCAAGAAGGTTGAAACGGCAGTGGGCTCGTGACCTTTTTGTAAACTGTATATATTGCAGTTCTGGCAATCGTCAGATTTTCCACACAAGACATGAGTGCATGTGGCTAAAGTGCTCTCGATCAATCTCCGCTGGCTTTAGTACCAGTGAGGCAGTCGAGAGAATAGCGCAGTGTTCTCCTGAAGTTCCCTCGCCTGATTGTAAATAGTGTATATAGATATGTATATGTTTTTTGCATATTTTTAATTTTCTTATTTTTAGTTTATTTTATTTTATTTATTGTATATACTCTTTGATTATTAGTTATTGTTATTTTGCTTCTATTTATTTTATATTTTTTGTAAATATAGTGTGAACGTTATCATACCTCACTATAACTAGTGTCCATGTGACAGATTGTTGTAATACTCAATAAAAAAAAAGGGTTCTATGTTACTTTATATTGTAATTACTTCTGATATTATTATTTACATTTTCACTATATTTAATTGAATTTGTGCAGATATCGTCCCCTGTAATCTGTTTTCTATATTTTTTTACTGAAATTTATGTTCTGTAAAATTCTGGTGGCTTCTTTATCTACCAAGAATTATTTAAAAATTGAAGTACTTTTGATTGAAGAATATGCTTTTGGGTTCAAAAACACTCATCGGAAAACAGGAGAAGCCGATGCTGTAAACAGTTAGTCAGCCGAAAGACCGCTGTGAACCATAATTGGAGAAGGCACGCAAGAGATCAGATGCGTTTAATACAGCCTGGCTTTAATATAGTGAAGTGCCATCCATTACTGTTCGGGTAAACAGTCCTGTAATCATCTTCTTTTCTTTATTAACTAATATCCTTTTATATCCCATTCCCATCTTTTAATCTTCCATTTCTTTTCTCTTTTTTTCATTTCTAACTTCTTGATTTTTCTGTTTCTTAAATTGCTAAGAACAATGCTCAGGTTTTACGTGCCTTTTGATTTAATTTGGGTAGCTGAAAAGGTCTTCTATTATATAGGGTTTACTAGAAATGTCTTAGCATGGTTTTTCTTGAATGAAGTAGTTCATGCAAGCACCTGTTTTAAATGTCGGTTAGACATCATTCAGATTGATCATGCTTTTTGAAGTTAGATAAAACTGTCTTTAGTCGAAGACAATGATTTTTTTTTCCTCTCCTAATAAACAAGAAGATAGAAACATCCAGTTGCGAAGGAGTTGTGACCCATTTTTTACGAACATGTTCTGAACCTTGTTAGCACCAAAGATGGACGTTCGCGATGGAGAGAACGAAGGAAGACTTAGAGGCAGAACGAGCACGGCTGAGGCTATCAATCAAAATCTCCTCACACACATTGTAAGCGGCCATTGTAATTCCCGGCTACAAAAACCTTCCACTTCTAGACAAAGAGGCGGGTAATGCATTCGCTCCGCCCGGCGAAATAAAAGCCACTAACTATTTTTGTTCTCTTCGGGGCCTAGCTAGCTATATACCGGAGAGCCGATGAAAAGACAAACAAATTGGAAAAGCAATACCCCCGTATCGGCCTGCCGATTGTAAACAATAATTTACAATGCAAAGGTTGATTTCATTGTCCAGGATCATTGTGGATACCGGGCTCTGGAAGGCCCGCCGCGCGCGGAAAGGATAAATAATAAATTAAAAAAAACTCTGGGAAAAAAACAAGAGAGGGGGTCAGAGAAACGGGCTGAAAAAAAAAAAAAAAAAAAAAAACGGACCGACAAAGGGTTAGAAAGGTAGCCAGAGGTAGGCTTTAAAAAATACAATACATCACCGAATAATGTTGCAGAAATCAAATTAAGGACTATTTTGATTGATGACTAATTTAGTCTGCCGAGGGAATAAAGTCCGTTTCTCAATGGATAAGTCGGATTCACGCTGCTTTCTCCAACCCCCTTCTATCCTCAGAGATGACAGGAATGTTTCATCAGTTTGGAAGTGCAAAATTCTTAAAGTATGAGGAAGGGACTTTACAATTACTCGTGAAGTAAAATCACGCAGGTCGGGGGGAAAAATGAGTATTTTTTATGGATAGCTATGGTTTCATTATTTTCAAAAATATATATTATTTATCAGAGAATTGATATGAATAAAAAACTAATAATTAATAATGCCAACTGCTTAATACCAGTAAATATTTCGGTTTCCACATAATACAATTTCATGAATCTTACCTGTACATATTCTTACTCTTCCAATAACTAGTAATTTTCACTTACCTGAAACATAAAAAATAAAATTAGGATGTGAATTCATTAGAGAAGAAAAACAAAAATATTAAAATTTTATACATATATTTAAAAAATACTACGATACTTTAAGAAACTTCGGAAACTTTATTACATAAATTATTATTTTTTCTCGTTTAGCTATAATGGTTGGGTATACATTTAGTGAAGCGATTTTTGCATAAATAAGAAAATGAATTTTCTAAGAAAATATATGAAATAATTTAATTGAAATATGTTGAAAAAAAAAAAAAACTACATAAGAGGTTAAAACATCTTGTATTGATGGCTGTTGTTTAGGGTCAGTATGGGAAGGAACCAAGACAAGAGTGCCATCGTTACCAGGCAAGAAAGGATGAAGAAACCATCTTGAACCATGCCAGATTTTGTACCACCGGCAACATAAAAACATTGGATGGATAGCAACATAAGACGTTAGTTAGAACAATTAGAAACTGCTCAAATTCATAGCTTAAATATCATACCAAAACCTCTTATAATGTAAGCTGAAAATAATAAAGGTAACAATATAATAAAGGAATATCTAAAATATTTGATATGCTGGTAAAGTAATGTGGTAAACAATATGGATGTGAGAAAAGTGTAGCAAGCCGTTTTATAATAAATAATTATTGAGTGTATTAACGTCATGATTTTAAATATGGAGCCGACAAAAACATTGTTTTAAAAAGGAACGGAAAAGCGTAGGAGACGGTTGTTAAAACCGAGGCTTTGTTATAGAAAACTAGAATTAAAGGGGAGATAGGAAAGTGAATTAAATTTTTATTCAGGTTGGAACGGCACAGAATATATATGGGAGCTGAGGCCAATTCTACGACTGAGCGGGAAATGAGAAATACAAATGTTGCTGAGAAATATGGCCTCTTTTCAATTATTCCTCGATATAGGGGCAGGGGGCCGATCAGGAGTCTTGTAATTACTTTAGGGCCTCGTGTACGAGATTCGGTCCCGGTTCTTCCCTTATTTGAGTTCTATCACCATCGGCTCAATCTGAACATCATCAAATCAACGTCGAAATGTCATATATATCTCTTGATGCAAGCGGACAAAGTACATTTGTATAAGAAGCTTCGCAGTTTTATCATTAACTTCGTGACCGTACATAATAGTGTTAAAATAAAAATATTTAAGGATTGAATAAGTATCGTTAGAGTAACTGAATATTTAAGTTGATATATAAAGAACCCGCTTAAAACTAAGTAAATTATTAATACACCGGATATTAATATTTCGTTATTCAACCGATTTTATTTTATTATTTTGGCTGAGATAATTTAAAAAACTAACAAATCACACCAATCCAGACATCAACAAAACACTTTTATTCGTATATATAATATATATTTATATGTATGTATATATATATATATATATATATATATATATATATATATATATATATATATATATATATATATATATATATATATATAATATAATATATAATAATAATACATAACATATGGAGAAGAGGAAAAATTAAATGTAATAAGGAGGATGGATAATAAACGTAATTATAAATATAATTCTATAAATATCAAGGAAAGATTAAAAGAAAAAGGAAAAATAGTAGAAAATATATTAATTTATTTATTGAGAAATATTATAATCTGTCACAATTAAGGACATTTATAATAGTTTTCAGAGAGCACATTCACACTCTTAGTAAAAAATAATATACATAAAATGAGTGTGAAGAAAAGGAAAAGAAATAAGACTTAAGAAGAAATAGAAACTTAGTGTGGTCAGCATGGAGGTTCGGTAGAAACTGCCAGGTCATTGGAAAAAACATTGAGGAAAATATTTTATATTTTATTAATATGAACATCTACAAAATGACGATCTCCGCATAGGTGATCAGGTGTGCAGAAGAGTAAAGGCTTTCAAATACCTCGGGTTCTATCTGGACGATGCGGATGTCCGAAACAAGATAGAGATGGCAAGAAAAGCAGCTTGAATGCTACATCCTATTCTCAGAAACAACATTTCAAACGTGAACAAGCGGCGTATCTTCACGGATTTTGTGGAGTCCATATTAACTAACGGATGTGAGGCATGGTCGATGAATGCTTGTTTGTATGCTAGAGTTCAGACAGTGTAAATGGATTTTTGGCGAAGGTGTCTCCAGTTAACGAGGTTGGACAGAGTCTGTTGAGTAGATCAATAAAGGAGATCGTATCGGAGAGAATCGGGAAACGGCGGTTAGGATGGTAAGAGCACTGTAGGAGAATACCGAAGAGTCCTGGACTGACAGCCGGAAGGCGTAGGTGACTATCCAGAACTCCGTGGATGGAAGGAGTCCGAGAGGAGATGGCTGACCGATGTCTATAGGATGGAGACTGGGAGGACAGAGATATTTGGAGCTCAGCTCTGACTTGAAGAGGTATCCCACGTTAGAACACTGTATAAGGAAGTATTAATATTAAATATAGAGGGTAAAATATTATAGATATTTTTTTAAAAAAATAAATACTTATTAAATTAAATAATTAAGTGAAATGGTTTAGAAGTAAGTAGTGATTGAAATACTAGATGATTAAAATTTTATTTTAGTAAAACAAAATACTTTGTATTTTAAAATAGTTTTCCTCCAGGTTTGGTTTGTGCTTCTTTCGCTGAGAGCAATAAAAATCTATTAGTGATAGCTCAGAATCCATAATTCGATATTTTTTTTTTTGATATATTTATTAAATATATCAATATTTTTTTTTTCGAAATACCCAAATGATCATAAAGTTATACTCCTCATTCTACCTTTTCAATTTTACTTCGTTGGAGAGGTATCATACCATATCATCCCTCCCTCCTAATTTTTTTCAATTATTTTTATTATTGTTCATGAAAATGGAATTTAATGATCGAAATTGAGATGCCTCACTTCTACATGAAATTTCTTTTTGATACTTCTTTCAACAAAATCCGAAAAAGAGTCTAAATTACCGTTGTATACTATATAGTGAAGATCTTAAACTTGACTTCACCGCACTGGTTTTTTGGAAGAATCTGAGAGGTAATACTTTATTATGATTCCAATTAGGCCAAATGGAAATATACCGGAGAAAAATGTCTTGGCTAATTCTGCCCTGTCACACACATCAACCTCGAGCGCATTGCATCTAATGGGCGGATGTCCAATAACTCCCTCCGTTCCTTCATCATATTCAAGAAGAAATTTACAAAATATATGGTCGCACATTTGGCTCTTTCACTCCGGCAATACTTCATTACAACTGCCTTCTCCCGTCCGACCAAATAGAGTCTCCAAATGAATTATTATTTTTATTAAGGATCCCATATTTCATAACCGACAATATAACGATATTTCATTAGATATATAACTTAATTAACCAGGATAAATTATGTCATTTCTTCTGTTAGTGTTTCTAGTAGCTTTATGATAATAATCTAAGCGTATAATCTAAGCTGTTATAAACATTTAAACTTGAGAAGGAAATACTCTATTAAAAAGTGTAAAAAAAAATATAATTAAGCTTGACTCAGTCCTGAAAAAAAAAACTAGACACTAGAACATGCCTACCTCGATATTATAACTTGTATATCTCTGGTGATATCAAAATATTTCAGAGTAAAAATATGGTAAATTGACCAAACCAAAAATATTTTCGATACCTCAATTCTAATATTGAATATTACAATCCATCTGGAAGCCTCTACACAACAATGAATATCTTAATAGTAGGCAAAAACCACGTGGGAGACTAAAAAAAAAACACGGAAGGATATAGGATAACTGTAAAGAAACAGGCCAATATAGGCATATATGGAGAAAGCTGATTAATGCGGCAAAGGATCTACAAGGTTTGTACCAAAAAAAAAATTCAAATACATCAAATTTTAATAGGAAAACAAATGCATTTGCAGTTTTTAGATTCTAATCGAATACAATGCAAGTTCGTCAAGAAAAATTAACTGCCGAATGTATTGTTTGAGGTAAATTTTCAAATTATTAAAGATATAAAAAAAATCTGCGACAAACACAAACAGTGATAACAACACAAATCGCAACCTTTCGCACGAAAGTTTAAAGTTTATACATTAAGTAATAAAAATTTTAAATGATATATTGGTTAATGAAATTAACTATATAGTTGGCTATATTTTGTCTTCATAACACAGTCTTGAAGAAAATAATCTGTTAACTTTGATTCACAAATTTTGACATTGATTAAACATAATATATATATATATATATATATATATATATATATATATATATTAATAAAAAGAAAGTTCAATACTCTTGTTGAATATACGATTTTATGTTTCCATTGCAAATATTCACTAATTCTGGAGAGCAACTTTATGCAGGACATGGTTTTAACGCCATATACAGTCGTGCCTATGAATTGCTGATGTGGGAACTGGAAAACGTTTTGAGCTTTCAAATGAAGATGTAAAGCTGAAATATACACTGCGAATCTAATTGAAAAAGTAGGTCTTAAATTTTTTTTTCAAAGTAAAATTATAAATAAAAATTCTACTTTTGTCAATCATTATTTACACAGATATCATCTTACTTCAAATGTTTTCAACTTGAAACTGGCTTTATGCGTATTCACAATCTTAAATATGTGCATATGGGTTATATAAACCCGAAACTTTAAGTGATATATATATATATATATATATATATATATATATATATATATATGAATATTAAAAAAACAAGAAATTTACACTCTCTGTATATTCATTCGGAACAGACGAACCATTTTATGAAACTAATGAAGAGGAGAAACAGAGAAAGCATTATTAGCTGCCAAGATGGGATTCAAGATATTAATAGTATGTTTCTCATTATAACTAAATACATATATCTTTATACTGAGTTCTCGGATCTCAACTATTAAAATTGGTTATTTATTTGAAGGAGGTAATTTATAACTGTGCAACCAATTAAACGTTTGACTGTATTCCAAGTGCAATGGGAATCGAAAAAAAAGTTTCTTAGTTAAATATATGCAAAATCCTTTTATATATCCTTTTGTAATATATCCTATATCCTTTTATCCAGGGGATTTTTGAGTTTGTATAAGTTAAAGAATTTGGCATCGAACGAAAAGAAAAAAAAAATATAATGATAGACCAACGAGTCCGGTTGTAAAAAGTATATATATCAGAAGCAGGACGGGATTTTAGGATTACATTTTCGGAGGTGGGCTAACATCTTAAGTCTGAACATATTGAAAACTCATAGCAGCACGGGAGCCGCTACTTTTTTTTTTTTTTTTTTTTTTTTTTCTTAGCTCTCTAAACTGTGTGAGGGCACCTAGTTTGAGACAGGTGAAGAAGGGCATTAATGGAAATTTATCGCAAATAGTCAATTTGAAT